TTCCACTTTTAAGAGTTCCTTAAAAATAAAAAAAATCTCATTGTGAGTTCAATAGTGAAAGGAATCACGAAGTTGTTTTCAGAAATTGATAAATTCTGTTGTAGGAGAGAATGGTTTTAGCATATCACAACATTATGACTTTATTTTAATGCTTATACTTTTTACTGCTTTAAATTATTAAAGAGTGGGCCCCACCAAACATTTCAGTAGATCACATTCACAGTGATCAAATGAATAATTAAGAAATACTCAATTACTTATTGGAAGATCATAGTGGTCTTTGGCATAACTTTGCATTTTCTGAAATTATTGAAGTATAGAAATCCTCACATAATAATTTCTCTGGAACTACTTTTCAGAAGACAGTATCCTGAAACCAGATAGGGAGATTAAGAGTCAGAAACTTTCACATAAAGATCATGTAGTTACTTGACAACAGTTCTGAAAGTAGTCCTTGCATCTCTTGCCTACTACCTTTTTCCCCTTTCTTTTTGTGCTTTAAAAAAAAAACCCAAGTATTTGGAAATACCTTCAATTATAGAAAAGTTTCTAAAAAAGAAATAGTATGTAGAGCACAACTGTTTTTAACACTCCCCTATTTGCTCTATTCTCTTCTCTTTCTTCCCTTCTTTTTCCTGTGCATACTTTCCCTGCCTCTGTTCTCCCTATTCACCCATTCCCACACATGTGTGCAAATGTACATTCATTCTTTTTTGCCCTCAAACTATTTACAACATCATGGCCTTTTGCCCCAAAATACTTCAGTGGCTGCTTAAACTTTGATAATGTAGAAACTTTTGAAGAATACAATCCTTGTGCTTTTTTAAATAGAATGGTCTCCTGTTAGCTTTGTCTCATGTCTTCTCAATTAGATTCAAATTTTGTATTCATAGATAGAATATTCTGCACCTCACTGATAATGTTCATTTTGGCCATTTAGTGGTCCAGGCATGGTCCAATTTCTCCACTGTATAGTTACTCTTTTCCCCTTACAACAAACAAGCAATCTGTAGGATTTTTTTTTTCTTTTTCCATTTTTTTGGGAAGTAGTGGGAGGAGGGTCAATATAGAGAAATGTTAAGAGTTCTTACTTTGGAGTTGTCATTGGGTTTGAATCCAAGTATGTGAACCTAACCAAGTTTGATGATTTTGAAATGAGGATGATATTTGCTACATCTTAAGATTGCTGTGAGATTTAAATAAAAAACTGCAAGCCTTTGTGGTAGTATAGGCCTGCAATCCCAGCCCTCGTGAAGTGATTAAGCATGCTGTCCTAAACACAGAATATACTACTGTAGGAGTATAAATGAGGGAAAAATCTTGTGTATGGAGGGGCAGAAAAAAAATAATTTTAAGCTAGACTTTGAAGTACACTGGGAATTTTCTGTGGTGGGGTGGGGATATGAAGAGTGGTGATACTAGCAGAAATATCATCTGAGCAAAGGCACAGAACAGATGCTTGTGACAAATTTGCAAGACCTGCCCTTTGAGATAGGTTTTATCTACAAATAACTGATGTGTTGTAACCCTTATTTAATAAAAAGTGATATTTTCTCCTCAAATATTAGCCATATACCTTGTTTAGAGCCAGTCAGCTCTTTTGTGTTAACTACCCACACATTTCACTGATCATAAAAGGCCACATGAAAGGGAAAAATGAGGAGTAAAAAAAAATGAATTTCTTGGCCAGAGAAAAAGAGAGGCAAAAATAGGTATAAGAAAATATACATATATTAGATTTGTATATTAAAGAATTCTTTATGTAGTTTTATTTATGCTCCCTGTTACATCAGGCTGGTTTACATTTATGCCTATTATTTTTTTAAAAACTAGAGTTGAAGTTGGTGTTTTGGTAATTAACTGTGAAAGTGTAACTGAGTCTAATTACTATAATTACTATAAATATTTTATAAGGAAACTTTATCCCCCCAAGGTGTCATGAACAAGTGCTCTTCAAATAGCTATGCCCTCTTCATAGGTGGATTGTTCACCTAACTCTTATTCCTGCAGGTATTAGCTTTTTCCACTAGTAAAAGTAATACTGTCCCTGAAATCTGTTTCCTATTGATATTTCCCACAACACATTGTATTTTCTTCCTAGCACTTCCAGTTTTTATGCTGCAGTTATTTTTAAGACTGTTATTAACCATCTGTCCTCTTACTGTAGGGTAAGCATGTAGAGCATGTCTATTTTATTTACCATATGTCCTCAATGCCAAGCACATAGTTGGTGCACTCAGAAAATCTATTTAGTCACTTAATGAACAAACTTAAGTCCAAGCATTCTGCCCCACATCTCTAGCTCTTGTTTTATACCCATACTACCTAAATTATATTCTAAAGCTTTGAATGAACTATTAATGAATAACTTCTGAAAAGATGATTTTGTGGTTCTAGGTTTGTAATTCTATCCTTCCTCATTGAGAACCATGATTGGCATTAGCATGTTAACAGTTCTCAAAAGTCCTAAAGTTAAAAAATCAGTTTTCAAGCCGAGTATTTCCTGTACTTTTTTTATACTATCAGAACTATTGATTACCTATTGATGATTTGAAATTAGTATTCCAGAGGACACAGTTTGGGAACGTTAGCCTATATGGTATAACAAGTAGATTGCTCAGAAATTTCAGTGATAGATACTGTCTTCAGGAAACATCTGAACTTTTTACTATATAAGTGTAATTTAGAGTTGCATAATCTTAGGTATTTGGTTGAGGCATTCAATAAATACTGAATCATCATAGTTGTTTTTTTTTAACTTGGCTTACCATTCTTCCTACTCAAAGCAAAATTAATCACATTTTCACTTAAAATGTTATGTTTTCCTAAATAGATGTATATAGTTTGGAGGTTTTGACCCACTGCGGGGGGAAAAAAATGGACCCCTGTGTTATGCAAAAAATAAGTTGGAGTGTAAACAAACTGTAAAAATAGGGTAAAAAAAGTACAAAGATTACGTTTTCTTTATAAACTTGAGGTTGGAGAATGGGTTACTACTGTAAGTATTATCTGACCTACTAAAAACATATTTACATATTCTGTTCTCACTTGGATCAGAGAGCAGACATCAAACAAGTGAAACCAAGTCAACAAATTTTTAAATGCTGTATTCCAGAGGTATCACCAGAGTAAGACAGGACAGATTTCCAAAAGATAAACTTTTCTAACCCTCCCCCACCACATACACATACAAAAATTAGTTTCTGCAATTAAATAGGACTCATTAGGCAGGCTGAAGGTTTAGAATCAAAGATAAAATTGAGCTATATAATAGCGAATATTTGTTTCCATACCTTGATTTATACCTATGGAGTTTATATCTGTTGTTAAACATGACAAAACCACAAATAAAATTATTAGTCAATTTGACTAACAGAACTTAACTGGATTGGGGGACATGGCTCAAATGGTAGAGTGGATCTGCCTAGCAAGCTCAAGGCCCTGAGTTCAAACCAAAAAAATGAATAATAAAAATAAAAAGATAACAATGCAAGTACTCAAGTATCAGAAAAAGAAAAGCAGCACTTTGTAAAATGGAGTAGAGGAACAACATTTGAGGGAAGAAAAATTTAACCATTATTTGTAAAGAAATTAATGTAAAATAGCCACTCATCTCAAAAAGGACTGGAGGCGTGGCTCAAGTTGTAGGACACACCTGCCTAGCATGCATGAGGCCCTGAATTCAAACCCCACTACCGTGACCACCACCCAAAAAAAGAAAAAGAAAATGAAGTTAATAGGCCCTGAATTCAAACCCCAGTACTGCTTGAAGGAGGGCGGGGAGAGTAATATAAAATAAAAAAATAGATGAAGATTTTTTTTAAGTAATTGCTCCAAGGAATAGAAGTTGTAACATCATCTGGACCCTTTGAGCACTTCTGTTTGTAGTGCTGTACTGATACCTTTGCAAGCCCACAAAGATATCTTGTACATAATAATTCAAAGGTGATTTTTGCATCATTTGAGGAAAGGGGTATACATTTAGATTGTTTCTAGGGTTTTTCCCCCTATCAATTTATGTATTATTGAATACATTACAGTGCATCTGTATAATAAGGTATAATGCAGCTGTTACAAAGAGTGTAGTGGAAGTATCAGTATGGAAATATCTCCAACATATATCAAATGAGCCAAAGATAGGAATAAAACTATATGGTCAATAGTAAGGTTCTGTGTAAATTTCAATTTATAATATATCTTAGCAATTCATCTTTCCATTTATAATATATCTTCAACTTTTATATACATTTCAATTTATACTATATCTTATAAATGTATATCTATATACATTTCAATTTATAACATATCTTTTCATACTGTTAAAATTTTTTCATCCATGATCTTATATATCTATATATAATAAAATATATACCAAAATTCATTGTTGATAGGGCTAGATGAGAACAAGCCTATCATGGCAGGTAGGGGTATAACAAACTGGTACAAACTTTTCTGGGTAGTAACTAAAAGTTTATTTTGTGCATCTATTACACTAAACACACACTTACCTTTCTTAAATCCCCAAATATTCTGGAAAGTAGATTGATTTTTCTCTTACTGGAGGATGTAGACTTAGATGACTGAAGTTTCTTGCCAAGAGTCACAGACAGTTGATAGTTGGAGTCAAGTTCTAATTTTACTCATAATTTGATTTCTTCAAATAATAAATTCAGATGTTTTAACTCTTCCTATCTCATCTGAAAAATGCAAGCTTTAACAGTTTTAATCAGTTTTTTTAATCTCCTTGTGTAACTGGATTTTGGTGTATTTTTTGAAATAAGGTGTGGAAAGTTGAAATATTCAGTGTTTCTAACAAAATCTTATTTCTACTTTAAAATGTTTTTATCATTAGTTGTATTGTTAACACCATGCTTTGAAGACCTTCTACTAAGATCCCTCTATTTTAAAAACAAATGAGCACAAACCTCTTTGTAAGGCTATACATTCTTCTGTTCACTGCTTTTTTAATACATAAACTTACATATTTTCCTTCTTTTTAGGAACATCATCTTCAGCGGGCTATTTCCGCACAGCAGGTATATGGCGAGAAGAGGGATAATATGGTTATACCAGTCCCAGAAGCAGAAAGTAATATTGCTTATTATGAATCTATATATCCTGGGGAATTTAAGATGCCAAAGCAGCTCATTCACATACAGCGTAAGTAACAATTCTTCTAATGATGGCATTTCCTATTTTGATCATCTTACATAACTTGACAAATATGTATTTTATGACCGGCATCATCTTGAGAATTATTAGAACTCTTTCTCTATCAGAATGGTGTTAGCACTTGTGCATGGAAGCAATGCTAGGAATCTTTCTGTATAGCTATCCTTATCTCAACTAGCAAAACCGCTTTGTCTTTCTTATTATTGCTTATGTCGTCTCTTCAACAAAATTGGAGAAAAGGGCAGAACAGGTTCTGCCTGGAAGTGAGGGGGGTGGGGGGAAGAGGGAGGGAGTGGGGGGGGAAAGGGGAGAAATGGTCCAAACAATGTATGCACATATGAATAAATGAATAAAGACAAAAAAAGAACAACAAAAAAAAAAGAATGGTGTTAGATATACTGTCTGACAAAAAGGATAGCATTTATCTTTGTATATTTTTTATTTCGTTCCAGCATGGAATCTTGTGCTGCTTTAAACAAATAGGATAAAGGGAAAAAGGGGAGAGGGAATAAGAAGGGGTCATAGAGGGGGTGAACATGATCAAAGTACATTATATGCATGTATGGAAATAAAACGATGAAACTCATTTCTTTGTACAGCTCGTATATGCTAATAAAAAAAGAATCCAGGCACTAGAAACAAATAAGTAAAATAACTTTGGTTAGAATGCTAGAAAAAAAATAGCCCCAGAAAAGAAGCAGTTTTCTTCCTGTTTAGAATTATTAATGTTAATAGTCTCAAAAAAACTTGATGAAATTGGGAGTCTGCAAACTTTTCCTGTAAAGGGTCAGACAAATATTTTAGGTTTGTCGGTTATTGAGTCTGTGTCACAAATACTCATTTCTGCTGCTGTAGTGCAAAAGCTGCTATAAAGAATACATAAACAAGTTAAGGTCTCTGTGCTCCAATAAAACTTTATTGATAAAAAAAAATGATGGCCCAGAGTTGACCCATGGGCCATAGTTTGCCAATCCCTGATCTGTGTTACTACTAGTAGAGAAAGATGCTAGTTTTAAAATTTTTAGTGTTCTGCCAGAAATGGTGGCATATAGTCCCAGCCCTTGAAAGGCTGAAGCAGGAAGATTGCAAATTCAAGGTCAAACAGGCTACATAGGGAGACCTGTCTCAAAAAAAATACATACATATAATGTTCTAATGATCTTTTGATAGCTACCACATTTGGTGATAGCTGAGAGCTTATAGACTTAATATATCTTATTGTATATCTTCATTTCCTCAGCCTTAAGTAGTTGATAACTTTAAAACAAGTAGTTGGAAGGTCATTGAAGGTAAAATTCCTACAGCTTTCATTGGTTTGGTTGACATTTATTATCAGGAAGTTTTTGTAGGGATCCATCTAAACATTTTTCAAAAAGCACAATGTAAACCTCTTTTGCTTCTATTGATCCTTCTAAGCACATTGAGAAACAAGCTTTAACTAATTCCTAACTCATTAATTAGTTTTCTGGCTCATTTAACCAGTTTAACTCACTTATGATCCAGTTTTTTTCTATCCTGGGTTATAAACAATAATTTTAGTTTCTTAAATGTGGAAACCAAAAGTAGACTAGTATACATTTAGGCTCTTATTATTTTATTGGCATTCTGAGTTTTTTTTAACTTGTGGTTTGTGGGAAGGGTCTTTAATTCTAACTTGTACCTGATTATGTCTTCATTTTACTAAGAGTTTCTTTTGAAGGGAACCAAATAAATGGCATGTGTTTATTTGCACACTCATTTAATTATAGTTATGGCACAGACACAGGATATTGTGGCACATGCGTGTAGTCTCAGCTCCTCAGGAGGCTGAGGAGAGAGATTGCTTGAGCCCAGGAGTTTGTAGCCAGCATGAGCAGCATAGCAAGACCCCGTCCTAAAACAACAAAAATGAAAAATTTAAAGCAAAAAAAAATACTGACTATATAATTGTGAATTATTTCAGGGCTGTGAGATGTAACTTAGTGATAGGCTCCAGGATCAATCTGCAGCATCAAAAGAGAGAGGGAGAGAGAGATTCTGAACAAATTTGGTAGATATTTGGACCTAAAAAGCTACTCACGGAAAATCATATGTTTGTGGATGTAAATGTTAAGATCTAGCCCCCCACCCCCATATTTGCTAATTATATCCACATTCTATCTCGCTGCCATGGTTACCTTATTTTACAAAAAAATGTTTTAGGTTAAAGCAAGACTGAGTAGGATTAAATTACATTAATCAGTTTACATTGACATTACTGTCAGAAAAAAAAATTTGCACTTTTTTGGGAGGGAGGGTGATGATTATACCAGTTATATTTGTATCTCTATATGTGTTTTAAGTTCTGTCAGTTTTTCATATATGTGGCCTTGTATAACTACCACCACAGTGAATGTACTCAACTGCACTATTCATCCCTACTCATCCCTAACTCCTGGCAGCCACTAATCCATTTTCCATCTGTATAGTTACAGTTGGTTCACAAATGTTGCAGTATAGAATCATGCAGTATGTGTCCTTTTCAGACTGGCTTTTTTTTTTTAATTCAGCATAATATCCCAGAAATCCAGACATTTGTTTTATTATCAGTAGTTCATTCTTGTTGCAGATTAGTATTGCCTGATATGTATGTACCACAGTTTTTGTTTAGCCATTACCCATTAAAAGACATTTGGGTAGTTTCTAGTTTTAGACTTCTACAAATAGAGCCACTGTAAGCGTTCATGTTTAAGTTTTTATGTGAGCGTAAGTTTTTGCTTTGTTTTGTTTTGGCATTTTTTGGCTATACTGGGGCTTGAAGTCAGGGACTCACACTTGGTAGGCAGGCACTCTTACCACCTGAGCCATTCTGCCAGGCCTTTTTGTATTGGGTATTTTTGGGGGGATAGAATCTTGTGAACTCTTTCAAACCCCAATCCTCCTGATCTCTGCCTCCTGAGTAGCTGGGGTTACAGGAATGAGCCACTGGTGCCCAGCAAGCATGTTTTTAATTCTTTGTGATTAGTACTGAGAGTAGTTTTTTTTGTTTGGTCAGGATCTGCTACACTATCTTCCAGATTAGATGAATGATTGTTCTCATTATGACCAGCCGTGTGTAATATAGTCTAACATTTGAGGTTATCATTTTTTTATTGCAGCTCTTCCCATAGAAGAGCTAATTCCCATTTTATTGCTGATTTGCATTTCCCTAAATGGCTGATAAGTGTGTACACACACACACACACACACACACACACACACACACAGTCTTTGGTAAAATGATCACATGATCAGTTTTCATAGTATGTGAGTCTTCCAAATCACGAACACATTTTGACTCCAGATATTTAGGTCCTTTTTCTTTGATTGACACTTTATACATGTTTTGGTAGATTTATACCTGGAGCATTTGAAAAGATACTGCCTTTTTAACTTTGATTTCAACTTTTTTCTTGTCAGTATATAGAAATGCAGTTGAATTATGCATTGATCTTATCTTATATCCTGAGGCCTTACTAAAATTACTTACTAATTTTAGGAGGTGTTTGTATTTGAGATTTTCTATGCAGACATTCATGTTGTAGTTTGCAGATAGAGGCAGGTTTTTTTTTTCTTCATGCCTTTAGTTTCTTTTTCTTGCCTTATAATAGTGCTTATAACTTTAGTACTGTTTCAAAATAAGAGTGGTGGGAGAGATAGCTTCTTTGCCTATTTCAGTCTTTCATCACCAAGAATAATACTAGCTCTAGATTTTTTGTGGGTGTGTGTGGTTTCTTATGAGATTTAAGATGGTCTTCTCTAGGCCTAGTGTACTGAGAATTTTTATCATGAATGGATGTTGAATTTTGTCAAATACTTTTTCTACAGTAATTGCTATCCATATATATTTATGTTAACTTCCTCCTGTTAATACAGTAGGTTACAACTGGGAGTATATCTAACTTTTCTGTGGTGTATTATTTTTTTCATACATTGTTAGATAAGATTTTTATTGAGGACTTTAAAGTTCATGAGCAATGTTAGTAACATCCAGCTCATGAGAAATATTAGTAGCATCTCTTGTGATCCTGTGCCTTGTCTGATTTGGGCATCAATAATACTGCTTCATAAAATTAGTTGGGAAATGTTCATAAAACTAGTTGGGAAAGAAATTGCATAAAATTGATGTTAATTCTTTAAAAATTGACTTTGGCTTTTAATATGCTATAATAAGTGAGAAAAACTAAAATGTAAATTTTTTAGACATAAAATTGAATCTCGACTACTAAGTGATCTAGTAAGTTGTTTGTGAAAAATATATTGTCTTGAATTCTTTAGGAACTCTCTGTAGTTACATGTATAGTGTATACATACAGTTCTTTAGGAACCAAATATATTTGTATATAATACATATATAATTCTTTAGGAACTTTATACGCGCACATATGAATGAATGGTTCATTTCAATTTCCCTAATTTCTAATTAGTAAGCACCTAACCTAATGTTAAGCAGACTTTTTCCTTAAGTTCTTAACTGGATAATTATTATCCCCTAAAAGACCACAACCAAGTATGTTTGGAAGTTTGCATATTATATTTCCTTCCCACCCCCAGAGTCATAATGCATATTACTACTGTGTGTTGTAAGCACTGGTAGTCTTACGATGTTAAATTTATTTAGCATATTTAACCCGCCATTTTCCAAATCTATTCATTAAATGTTATCTATTAACATTTCATTACACATTAGGTTGGAGAATTCCACCATGTACTATTTTTGTCCTTACTTGCCTTAGGAAAGAAGTATAATTTTCTCTCTTTAATCCTAATCAGAGCTCTATGGGAAGAAACCTGTATTAAAACGATTATTCCCTTAAGTTCTGGATTGTAGGTGCACCTAAACTGTATCACCATTAACCATCTCCCAGTCCAGGGATCTCAATGTTGTTTCTCTTTTGACTGATAATCTAGATGGCTTCTAGATCATACACTAGGGCTCTTCCTTTCTAGCACAGAGCAGTTCGGCTAAATAGGAACAGTTCTTTTTTCTC